TGCCCCGCCCCGAGACCCAGCTGATTTGTACCCCTCTCCCCCAGTGCATAGTCACACTTTGGCCCTCACTGAGCGCTTTATGTCTTTACCAATCTAACTGATGAACAAATTATCAGTCTTTTAAAATTCCATTTCATTTCTTTAATTAGAAATGAACTTGGACTTTTTGTTTCACTTGGTTAATACCCTCCTACTGTGCTCTTCATGAGCAGGCCTGCCCGGAAGGCACGCTGAAGTGGCAAGCTCCCCTGTCTTACCAGCATGAACCAGCAAGTGGAGGTGTTGATGAAATTATTAGTGGGGGGCCTGTGAGCTCAGGGAAACACCCAGACCCATCATGGCTAAGCACATTCATGTGGGGGTTGTTTTCTCTTTCACACTTCTTTCAGGCTTGTCCAAGCTAACAGTAGTATAAACGGTCGCACTCACATCTATTGTGTGATTTCATATCATTGCTGCTGCTGCTGCTGCTGCTAAACTGACTCATACCAAACTCCATGAGCACCAATGTGCTCCAAGCATCACCTCCCTAATTTCTAACCACACCCCTCCTCCGTAGGTGTTAACTCAGCTCCATTTTACTAATGAGGAATTTGGTTTCCAGAGAGGTGACATGACCTATCCCACCCAGGAAATATTTGTGCTTCTATTTTAAAGATGAGAATGCTGAGATCCCACAGAGGTGAGGAGGCAGGTAGGATGGCTGGCTTCCCAAGCTGCTTGTTATGTCCAGGGTCTTTGGTAGAAATTTTTTAGTCCTGTGGTTCTATAACTGTAGCAAGTGGGAGGCTGAGGCCAGTGGATTGCTTGAGTTTAGGAGTTTGAGAACAGCCTAAGCAAGAGCGAGACACTCATCTCTACTAAAAATAGAAAAACTAGTCAAGCAAGGCACTCATCTCTACTAAAAATAGAAAAACTAGTCAGGGGCCTGGAGTCCCAACTACTTGGGAGGCTGAGGCAGGAGGATCACTTGAGCGTAAGAGTTTGAGGTTGCTGTGAGCTAGGATGCCACAGCACTCTACCCAGGGTAACAGAGTAAGACTGTGTCTCAAAAAACAAGCAAATAAATAAACAAAACAAAAAACTGGAGCATGAACTGAATCACTTAGAGGTCACTTTAAAATGTAAAACAGAGTTAGCTGGGCCCTAGCCCCCTGGGGTTTCTGGTTTCTCCCATCTCAGAGATGGGGCCCAAGAATTTCTGTTTCTATCAAGTTCCAGATGATACTGATGCTTCTGTTCAGGGAGCCCTCTACACCCCAATCTTCTCTCCCACCTTGTGCCTAATTGGGTTCAGCAGACAAAAATTTCATAGGATATAATCTCAAGGGCACCTGGCAGATCCCAGAAAGGACAAGTCTAAGGTATTAATGAGGTCTCTAGCTGTTGGAACGGAGCTCTTGGGTGGTGGGAGAATAGCTTGCTTCCTGTCCAGGAGAATTGCCAGAAATAAGAAGAGTTTTTCCTCCTTGAGAAAGGATTAGTATGTAGCTCTGGAACCTGGAATAAATCTGCAGCCAGATGCCCAGGCTCAGCTGAGGCTCTTGAGATGGCTGAAGTTACTCCCCAATACTCCCAATGACAGACTTCAGAATCTGAACTCACTAGACAGCTAAGAAAAGGCAGTGGGGGGAAATAGACTGGAATCTAACCTGAGAGATTCTGGCAATTTCTTCTGCTCGGCCACACCCACAGATTCCCCCAGACATTGGAGCTGACTCAGAGTTGATTTTGAGGCTCAGCTGCCTAGGAATTCTCCCAATAGGCATAGTCCCCTCTTCCGGAGGGGACTGGGAACACCTCCCAACACCAGCACTGCCTCCTTGGATCTTGGAGCTGGACCTATCACCTGGTGTCAGGATCCACCTTCAAATAAATACAAATATTTATTCATTCCATAACTACTGACTGCTTGTTGAAGACACTTTCACCGGTAAGACAGGGAAGCCCCCTGCTTTCTGTGAGCTGACTTTCAAGCGTGAAGAAAAAGATAACACACCTGGAAACAAAATAGTGACAGCTTGAAGAACATCAACAGGATGCTGTGAGAGATAATCATAGGGTACCTACTATACGTGCAGTAATCAGGTTGTGCTTCTCTGCAAAGACACCTCTACACTGAGAGCTAAAGGAGGAGAAGAGTAGGGCCTGGGGTTGGAAGAAGCTAGAGCCAAAAAGATAGCAAAGTGGCCAGAGGGTAATGGGCAAAGGTGAAAGATGTCAGTAGGGACCAGGCCACGCAGTGTTTCATGGGGCATTGTGAAAAGCCTGGATTGTATGTAAAACACAATGAGGAGTCTAGGCAGTGATCATTCATGGCCAATGGAAAAATTAGGTAAAAAGAGAATGGGGATCATGACAATGGAGGATCAGGCTGACATCACCTGAGCCCAATGATCAATCTTAGCCCCACAAAGAGAGAGACCACCAGACAGAATCTGATCAAGCCTCTGGATCTCACTACCAAGTACAGGAAATACAGGGGACAGAGAACAGAACGTGTAAAAGGACATCATGAAGGAGCAATCAGGAAAATCCAGTCTGCACGAAACTCTGCAGACCAATGATCAAGTCTATGTGACAAATTGACTTGCTTAAGAGAAAGATCACAGAGGGAGAATAACTAAAGAACTAAGAAGCCTACATACCACACCCACCAAATGCAATACTGAGATGGGGACAGATTTCATAATAATGGACCTTAAGGAATCACACTTCTGTGTCCATACCTCCTTTGCAAAATCATGTTGCTGTTCTTCCCATCAAGAGGTGAAACTTTTATATTTTTCTACTGGCTTAAATCTGGTCTGCCCCTGCAACTTGCCTTGGCCAATAGAGTGTGGCAGAAGTGGACTTGTGAAAATTCTGGAGGCAGAATTTCTGTTTCTCTTGGAAAGGTAAGACCCCCCCGCCCCAATCTCTGAAGAAGCCCAGTCTACCCTCCCAGAGGATGAGAGGCCACACGAAGGAGAACCGACACACATAGGTTGGGTTATCTCGGACCTTCTAGCCCCAGGCAAGTCAGCAGATGACAACAGCTGCAGGAATGATCCCAAGTGCCATACCACTATATTTTGAGATGGTTTGGTGCATCATAACAGTTAATAGAAATGGAAATTTTGTTTGGATCTTCGTTTAAACCAGTGGTTATCAACCTTCCTAATGCCCGATGTATTTTCATTGTTACAAAGGAGTCATGACCCACAGGTTGAGAACCTCTGATTTAAACAAACCAACTACTAAAAAATTATGAGGGTGGTGCCCATAGTTCAGTGGGTAGGGCGCCAGCCACATACATTGAGGCTGGCGGGTTTGAACCCAGCCTGAGCCAGCTAAAAAAACGACGACAACTGCAACAACAACAACAAAATAGCCAGGCATTGTGGCGGATGCCTATGGTCCCAGCTACTTGGGAGACTGAGGCAAGAGAATTGCTTAAGCCCAAGAGTTTGAGGTTGCTGTGAGCTGTGACGGCATAGCACTCTACCCAGGGGAACATAGTGAGACTCTGTCTCAAAAAAAGAAATAAATAGCCAGGCACGGTAGCTTACGTCTGTAATCCCAGCATTGTGGGAGGTTGAGAAGGGAGAATTGCTTGAGCTCAGGAGTTGGAGACTCGCCTGAGAATGAGACCCTGACTCATGAAAAAAATGGAAAAACCCAGCTGGGTGCCAGCAAGTGCCTGTTATCCCCCCAGTTTCTGAAGGCTAAGGCAGCGGGATGCCCACAGCCCGAGTCTGAGGTTGCAGTGAGCTATGACACCACTGCACTCTGCTCAGGGCCATAGGGTGGACTCTGTCTCAACAACAACAAAAAAAGAAATAAATAAAAAATTATGAAATCAGAGAATTTTGAATGCTAGATGCTGGTTATTTGATAATATTATGATATAATTGTTAATTTTGGGGGGTTTGATAATAATGTAACCACAGTTCTTTTTGTTTGGAGCTCTTATCTTTTAGAGCAGGGGTCCTCAAACTTTTTAAACAGGGGGTCAGTTCACTGTCCCTCAGACCTTGGAGGGCCGGACTGTGGGCCCCGGGACGAGTTGGCTGCTAAGCAGGACAGGCAGCAGCAGCAAAAACACCCCGTGGGCCTGATAAATGTCCTAGATGGGCCGCATGTGGCCCATGGGCCGTAGTTTGAGGACACCTGAAGAGTTGTGGGAGTATGGATGAAACAACTCCATGCCTTAAGTTGATGATTACTGAAAGTATATAATGTATATTCAGGAGTTCTTTATTCTGTTCTCTCTAGTAACAGTTCATTACACTTTATACTCATATGCACTAGGACATTCTCTCTTATACATGTTTGACACTTTCTATATTAAAATAAAGATGTTTGAATGCAACTGGATGCTCCTGGACGGCCTCAGCAGGGGGCATCACTTCCTCTCACTATGCACAGGAAGTTGCCCTGGCTTCTCCACATCCCCCAGTAGCCCCTCTGGCTCCCTCCCCCTACCTCCCCTGTCCTGCAAAGGGCCCCCTGCTGCACCGCTGTCCCCGACAGTGCCAGCTCATCAGCCCTGATCTTCCCAGGGTGTCTCTAGCTACAGATCCCAAGCCTCCAGGCCAGCAGCTAAGCTCTGATGTGGCAGAAAGACCCCCCAGAGACTCTTTGTCCCCCGGAACAGGCCTCGTTCTGTTTGATCCCAGAGGTAGACAAGAGGAGAGCTTAACAGACAACATCGTGAGTCACCCCAACTAATGACTTCCCAGAAGAGTTGTGGTTGGACACTGAGCCCTCTCTTCATAACACACTAAAGCTTGGTCCTGATTCAGAGACACTCAAAGCAGGGCCAAGTCTGCTGCACAGTAGTTGAAGGACCTTGAGCAAGTCATGGAACTCCTCTGGTCCCCATTTCAAATGAGGCTAATACTTGGCTGCTTTCATCATGAATGGCTCAGAAAGTTAAATGAAATGTAGATGTGGAAATGCTTTTTTCCATGCTATGCAGAGGGAACAGCTGATCACAAAGAGGGGAGTGATGAAGGATGGCTGTAGTCCTGGCTTTGGATGTTGTCCTGGTGAATGCATTGTGCCTCTGTCCCTTACTCCAGTTCAGATCCCCCTTTGATTCTCCCTGCCTCTACTGCCTTCTTGCCTTTCCCATCCAAATTCTGTGAAGGAGATGAGAAGGGACATCAGAGATTTTGAGGGTCCCAGAAGAAAACAGGTGGTGCACTCAGAAAGGGTTTAACTGAAGAGAGTTAAATGGAAGACTTTACAGAGGTGAGATGAGGGGTTAGAGATCCACCAGAAATGCTGCAGCACCCAGTGACTAGCAAACACAGGAAGCTGTTACCACCCGCAGGCCTGTTGGTATGCAGAGAAGGGGCAGTGCTATTGTAGCCCAGCAAGGGCTGTAGTCACTGAGGAGGAGTCACCCAACACGAGCGAGCTGTGGCCACAAAAAAAACAAACTAAAAAAACAGAAAAGCCCACCTAGATGCTGGCAGAATTGGGCAGGCCAGGGAGGAATCAGGAGATAAATACATTGACATCTCTCTTTCCTGGCCTGTCGTCTCCTTCTGTGCCTCCCATTGGCTAAACTAAGCTCTGTCAGAGGCCCGTTGGGGAGGGAACCTGGCTCAGATGGTCCTTAGAGGGTAGCCAGGACCCTGAGCAGGGTGAAGGAGGATGAAGCCTCTTTTGGAGTGGGGGGTGTGGTTAGTGGAGAATAGCCAACATTGGGGACTGAGTCATGGACAAGATGGGTGAAGTCAAAGATCAGGGTTTGAGTGGTTGTGGGCCCAAAGTCTTGGATCAGTGTGTGGTTGGGGTTTGGCAAATGAATGGTCACACTAGTGGTGAGAAGTCAGTGATCTCTTCTTTGCCCAGAGTCCTGACCCATATGTTCTTTTGGTCCTAGGGGAGCTCTCCCAGCCTCCCAATGGCAGCTGGCCCCCAAGTCACAATGAGAGCAATGCTGAGGCTGCCCCGGCTGTGAACCTCACCTTCTCCTCCTATTACCAGCATTCCTCCCCTGTGGCAGCCATGTTCATTGTGGCCTACGCGCTCATCTTCCTCCTCTGCATGGTGGGCAACGCCCTGGTCTGCTTCATCGTGCTCAAGAACCGGCACATGCGCACTGTCACCAACATGTTCATCCTTAACCTGGCCGTCAGCGACCTGCTGGTGGGCATCTTTTGCATGCCTACCACCCTCGTGGACAACCTCATCACTGGTGAGTGTAGACATTGCACAGCAGGGGCACCCTCCACCTCCATGTCCACTCCTCAGCTAAGGCCTGAAATGGAAGCTTGGAAGACAAGTCATTGCTGGGCCAGCCTTTTGGCCAAGATGCCATTGTGTTAAACTCTCAAGACAGTCTTGTGGCTGAGGGATTAGAACTAGAAATAATAGACACAATAAATTAACCATTTTCATTGTGCCAGGCATGCTAGTGTAAATTCTTCATACATTATCTTAATTAATGTTAGTCCGGTGAAGTAGGCTTTTTTATTATCCCTGTTTTATAGATTTGGAAACACACTCAGAGTGGTCTATAGTTACACAGCTGAGAAGTGCCCCGGTCCACATTCTTACACCATATTTCTAATTACCGTACTGCACTAGTGAGTCTCACTTTCCCACAGGCAGAACCAGAACCAGCGGTAGGGAAGCAGGTTTCTTCTGTTTAAGAACCTAGAAATCTACTTATTTGAGCTGTTGTCCCACAGAAGAGAGCCTGCCCTGTGAGTAAGGAGCTCCCTGTCACTGGAAGTATTTAAGTAGGGATTGGCCGGCCACTCCGCAGGGATTTGGTAGAAGGTATTCAAGCAGAACTAGATCATTTGACCTCTAAATGCCATCTGTGCCTTCTGCAGATGCCACCATTGTCATCTCCTGTCTCTCATGTGATTGTCCTTTTTTGTAGAATCAGGGTTCCTTCAGTTCTAGACTCCCTCTGGGGAGGGATTGGTTTCCGAAGTAGTGGAGACCCCTAGAGGCCTGAAGATTCTGATCTCAGAGCTCCCAGCAGCTGCCCAAAGCAGGATCTAGCGCCTGCACAGCCCCATTTGGAATGACTTGACTGACTGGGGCAGAGGAGCCACCGCCTGTGTTCCTCTAAGTTCCAGGACCCAGGAAGTGAAGCTCAGGCAGAGTCAGTAGCCCATGGCAGGCCTGGCTGTGCCTGGTGGAACATTTACCCACTGCCGAGTTGCAGATCCCTTCAGTAATGCTGAACATAAACTGTGCATCCTTCTCCTTCCCAAAGCACAGGCACACACGTGTACTTATGCACACATGTGCAAAGAAGTACACACATGCATGCATGCACATGAACACACACACATAGTCCACAGTGATAGGGTAAGGTCACCAGTTGCTTATAGAGGTGCCTGCCTATCCTTTGCACACACCTACATTTCAAAAATTGTTTGACTAGGTAAAATGTTCACATAGTTCAATAGTCAAAAGCTTCCAAAATAATCCAGGGAAATATCTCTTTTCCACCCCTGTCTTCTGGCCTTCTAGCTTCTTTCCTGGGAGTTAACCAACGTTGCCATTTTCTTATGTTGCTTTTTGAAAATATTTTACGTAAGCGCAACAATTAAAGAAATTCTACCTTTCCAAACATTCAGTTCTATACCTTTACTCAGCCACCTGCCCCGCTTAAACGAATCATGTATGTTATAAACAAGATTCATTAAAATCAACTGAGATGTTGTTATTTCATTAGTAGATGAGGGTTTCTCATTCTTTTTATAACTGCTTAGAATTCCATTGTATGGATATACTATGATTTATTTTTGATGAGTATTTAGCTTGTTCCTAATAGAATCTTCTGCAATTAAATAAAACTTCATACAACTACTTTCTTGTTCTCTAACTCAGGTGCAAAGGGCTGAATCATTCATGACCACTGTTCATGGCATTATGTGACCTAGCTTTGTTGTGAGGCCTCTTATTTATCTTTTATTTATTTATTTGTTCCTTTTTATACCCTCCCCCACTCCAAACCCCTTCTCTGACTCATTCTGTTATATTCAATTTGTGTCTTTTTGTTTGTATACAATCTTAGAAAATGTGCTATGAACGTGTGCACATTTAACATTAAAAAAAATTTTTTTTGAGGCAGAGTCTCTGTTGCGCTTAGTAGAGTGCTGTGGTATCACAGCTCACAGCAATCTCAAACTCTTGGGCTTATGCGATTCTCTTGCCTCAGGCTCCCAAGTAGCTGTGACTTCAGGCACCCACCACAATGCCTGGCTAAACATTTAAATATTTTTGTTAAGGTATTAACATACTATATATGTTTAGTATATTTAATATATTAACAATTTTTAGTATATAGTTCTACAAATTTTGACGATCACATACAGTCATGTAGCTACTACTATAATCAAGATATAGAAGGCCAGGCACGCTGGCTCACACCTGTAATCCTAGCACTTTGGGAGGCTAAGGCAGGAAGATCACTTGAGCCCAGGAGTTCAAGACCAACCTGGGCAATACAACAAGAGCCTGTCTCCACAAATAACTTTAAAAATTAGCCACACGTGATGGGGCATTCCTGTAGTCCTGGCTACTGAGGCGGCTGGGGCAAGAGAAAAGATTTAGAACAATTTCATCACTCCAAAAGGCTCCCCTTTGTCACATTGTAGTTGGCTCCTCCCTCCACATCCTGGCACCTTGGATCTCTGTTTTGTTTTGTTTTTTTCCTTGAGACAGAGTCTCACTATGTCACCATCAGTAGAGTGCTGTGACATCACAGCTCACAGCAACCTCAAACTCTTGGGCTCAAGCAATTCTCTTGCCTCAGCCTCCCAAGTAGTTGGAACTATAGGTGCCCACCACACCCCTGCTATTTTTTGGTTGCAGTTGTCATTGTTGTTCAGCTGGTCCAGGCCAGGTTAGAACCTACCAGCCTCAGTGTATTTGGCTGGCGCCATAACCATTGGGTTATGGGCGCTCAGCCTGGATCTCTTTTTTGTAGGGCAGAAAGTATAGTTTTGCCTTTACAAGAATGTCACATAAATGGAAGCAAACAGTATGTGGCCTTTTGAGTCTGTGGGCTTTTCTTTTCCTTTTTTTTTTTTTGAGACAGAGCCTCAAGCTGTCATGCTATGTAGAGTGCTATGGCATCACAGCTGACAGCAACCTCCAAATCCCAGGCTCAAGCGATTCTCCTGCCTCTGCCTCCCAAGTAGCTGGGACTACAGGCACCTGCCACAACACCCAGCTGTTTTTTGGTTGTGGCATCATTGTTGTTTGGCAAGCCCAGGCTGGATTCGAAACCCCCAGCTCAGGTGTATGTGGCCTGCACCTTAGCCACTTGAGCCACAGGCACCAAGCCTCTTTTCCTTTTAAAATAATTTTAGACTTAATGTTGCAAAACTAGTACAGAGAGTCCCCATGCACTTTGCATATAATATGGTGATCAAAATCAGGAAATTAGCATTGGTCTGATACTATTAACTAACCTACAGACTTGATTTGAATTTCAGCAGTTTTCCCACAAATGTCTTTTTCTAGGATCCAGCTCAGGATGACACACTGTATTTAATAGTTGTTTTCTTAGTTTCCTCTAATCTGTGACAGGTCCTTGGTCTTTCTGCCTTTCATGACCTTGACGCGTTCGAAGAGTACTGATCAGTTATTGTGCAGAAATTTGTGCAATGTGGGTTTGACTGTTTTCCCACAATTAGATTTAGTTTATGTGTTTTGGGCAATAGTACCACAAAAGACATATTGAGAAGACGCACCTTATCTGCATGCCGTAGTGGGCATGCCAACTTTGACCACTTGGTTAAGATGGTGTGTCCTAGGTTTTTCCACTATAAAGTTAACATTTTTCTCTTTATGATTGATAAGTATCTTATTAGGTGATACTTTGTGACTGTGGAAATGTCCTATTTCTCATTACACGTTTGCCTGCTAATTTTAGTGTCTCTTGATGGTTCCTGCCTACAATTATCACTGTCCTATCCCTCAGTGATGATTTTCTGCTTCCATCATTCTATCCACATTTATTCATTCAGATGCTGCTCCATAGGTTATAAGGCAACATTACCACTATTTATGTAGTATTTTGTTGTTTAAATTGTCCTTGTTTTGGCTATTGGGAGCTTTTTCCAGGGGCTCCTGTGTTCTTCCAACACGCTGCCATGATTTTTTGTGAGTACTTTTTTACTTTCTGGCCCCAAAGAATGCTCCAGGATCATCTTGTAGGATCCCTGTTCCATCCCTGGATTAATTATTTCTCTGAGGAGCCCGAGTTCTTTTTATTGGAGAATGGTAGTTAGACACCAAATAGAAAAATTAGCCAGGCATTGTGGTGGGCTCCTGTAGCCCCAGCTAACCCTAGATCTGGGCTCTAGGTGTGTTCATCACTGCTGAGGTGTCATTGTATCTAGGCCCTCTCAAAGGACAAGGCTAGGGAATATATATATAATATAAATGAATAAATATACATATATATATACACACATACACATACCTACGATATTTAACACACATATATCTTTATTTCTATGTCTGTTCATCTGTGTGTATATGTATCTTTTTTTTTTTTTTTTTGAGGCAGAGTCTTATTCTGTCACCAGGGTTAGAGTGCAATGGTGTCAGCCTAGCTCTCAGCAACCTCAAACTCCTGGGCTCTTGTGATATTCCTGCCTTCAGTTTCCCAAGTAACTGGCACTACAGGCGCCCACCACAACACATGGCTAATTTTTCTATTTTTAGTAGAGATAGAGTCTCTCTCTTGCTCAGGCTGGTCTTGAACTCCTGAGCTCAAGCAATCTACCCACCTCAGCCTCCCAAAGTGCTAGGATTACAGGCATGAGCCACCATGCCTGGCCCACCTGTGTCTTAAAAATCGTAAGTCCAGACCTGGCATGGGGGCTCATGCCTGTAATCTTAGCACTTTGGGAGGCTGAGGTGGGTAGATTGCTTGAGCTCAGGAGTTCAAGACCAGCCTGAGCAAGAGTGAGATCTCATTTCTACTAAAATAGAAAAATTAGCCAGGCATTGTGGTGGGTTCCTGTAGCCCCAGCTGTTTGGGAAGCTGAGGCAGGAAGATTGCTGTGAGCTATGATGGATGCCATGGGACTCTACACAGGGTGACAGAGTGACACTCTCTCTCAAAAAAAAAATCATGGGTTCATACTGGTATCAACATGCTATCACATGGTTCATTTCAACTTTCCCATTTTCCTTATCTGTAATTTCTTTCTCAGACAGTGAGAAATCTAGCTTGGATTATTCGCAGATATTTACTTATTTGTTCAATCTTAGTATACACATATGTATTTTCTGTACTACTAAACCATAGCTTTGTGATTTCAGTTTGCCTAATGTTTTCCCGTATTTAGATCCAGTTTATGCATTTTTGGCAAGAATATCACAGACTCATGAGAATACAGAATTTGATTTGTACACAGTTCTTACAGTTTTATAGTATACATTCAGAACGCTGCTTTCCAGAGTTACTTTGGTTAGTGTCTTTCTTCCTCACTGCCTTCAATCTGGTTATATTATTCACTTGTGATACAATTAGGCCTATTTGCTATAGTTTATATTTCACTGTGGGTCCCCACCTCCTGACCTGGCCTGGTAGATTTTAATTGTTTATGTTTTGTCAAACATTGATCTCTCCTTCAGGTTTCTCATCTGTAAAAAGGGGACAGCAAAAATAAGGCTGTTGTGAGGCTTAGATGAAACAGTGCCTGGTTGGCTCAGCACCCGTGGCTCAGTGAGTAAGGGTGACGGCCACATACACCGAGGGTGGTGGGTACGAGCCTGGCCCGGGCCTGCTAAACAACAATGACAACTGCAACAAAAAATAGCCAGGCGTTGTGGTAGGGGCTTGTAGTCTCAGCTACTTGGGAGGCTGAGGCAAGAGAATCACTTAAGCCCAAGAGTTTGAGTTTGCTGTGAGCTGTGATGCCATGGCACTCTACCAAGGGGGACATAGTGAAACTCTGTCTAAAAAAAAAGAAAGAAAGAAAGAAAAAGAGTGCCTAGTACTTAGAAACTGTGAAGGTAGAAAGTCAACACGGGGTGGGGGGTGTTGGTAAAAGGAAGGCCACTACCTCCAGAGACAACTCCTGTTTCAGGCACAATAGACAAGAATAAGGCGGGACCTCCGGTCTTAGAGGGACAGAGACACCAGCTGGTTACCAACACATAACCTCAGGACCCAGGCTGTGACCAGTAATGTTATGGTGCTGAGGGCAGGTGGGGCCAGGTCTCCTGATGAAGCAGAAGCCCAGGGATCAGAGTCATGACAGCAGGTAGGAAGAGCTGGGCTGCTTATACCTCTCCCCACCTGGGAGTCAGGATCGATTTGTCCTCAACTTTGGCTGCCATTCAAATCCCTTGGGTAGATTTCTTAAATACTGACAAGTGAGATATTCTGTCACTGGCCTGGCCATTTGTTCTTTTCAAAGCTTTCCAGGTGATTCTAGTAAGCCTCTGCGCTAAGAACCACTGACCTAGAACTTGGGTGGAGCTAAGGGAGCAGAAAGCCAGGCAGGGCTGAATAGATTTAAACTTCAGGGATAGAAGTCATTGGTCAATAGAAAGAACATTTCTCCGATGATCACACTGTCCAGGGTTATGTGGGCAGGTCCATTCCTTATCCCTGGAAGTGTGCAAGCAGAGGCCAGATGACTCTAGCAGGACATGGAGGCAAGGTACAAGCTTCAGAAGGGACCTGGCTTAGCCTGAGGCCTCTGGGTCTTAGTGGGTGAGCATCTCTCACTCTCCACTGGCCTGTGTCATTGCAGGATGGCCCTTCGACAATGCCACATGCAAGATGAGCGGCTTGGTGCAGGGCATGTCTGTGTCAGCTTCTGTTTTCACGCTGGTGGCCATTGCTGTGGAAAGGTAAGCAGTTTCCTACCCGAATTACCCCTGGGCCAACCAGGGCCCCACTAAGAGGGGCCACTGTCTGGAATGCTGGGCTAGCTAGAAGGCTGGGGCCGCTGTATGTGAGGTGGGGCTAAACCCTCAGGTATAAAGGGAAAGGTTGTGGGTCTGGCTACTCTCTAGAGCTGAGGGACCTGTGGAGAACACCACCATCTCCTTCTAGAAGGCTTGGAGGTAGCTCCTGAGAATGTTTAATAAAGATTCCTGAGGTCTGTGAGGAGCCTGAGAGCAGTCCTTGTCTCCAAAGCAGTAGGAATCCTGCTACCCATAAGTCTGAGCCAGGGAAGTCAGAATGAGGTGAGCTAGCTTACCAGGCAGGCCTCGGTGTGGCCATGGAGGAAGGACTCTACCCCATTGCTTCCATGCTGGTTTCTGGCAGTCTAGGCCTTACTCAGTTCCCATCTCCACACCTCTGGTCTTTTAGCCTTAGATTCCATCAGATTCTTTGATAACCATAGATCTGTTAATGTGGCCAGAGGTATGGAATGGAGCCAGGGGGCACCCTACAGAGCCCTGAACCCATGAGTCTGCCTTATGCACAATCAGCACAATCAGCATAAGGAAGACTCATGAGTTCAGTGCTTTTTTCTTTTTTTTTAAGATGCCTCCTCCCCCTCGCATCTTTAGTGGTATAAGGACTCTCCGAGGGAAGAGGAGGCAGGGAAGAGGAGGCAGGCAGATAAGCTGGAAGTGTCCTGCCTAACGGGATCATGGCAGTAAGTCACTTTACTTTTAGCCTCCGTAGACTCATTTGTAAAATGGCAAATACTTTACACGGTGGTTGCGAGGCCTCAGTGAGCATCTGCTTATAAAGCTTATGCATGGTTCCTGGCACAGAGTCTAAATGCCAGCTATTAATATTCCTTGTCCTCTCCCCAACATGGACACTTCTTACCCCTGCCCTTTCTATTACAGAATCCATGTTCTCATTTTCTCTCCACCTCTGCCCTCATCAAACACAGTATTTTTGATAACCCAGTGAAGTAGGCAGCTGGGTTTCTCTCTCCACAAGGCCACAATGTAGCTGAGTGGTGGGGGAACTCCCTCCCCTTCACTGATCTTTGTTTTATTACCATCACTGAATGATATGATAGTTTTCAACCTCTCCCAGTGGTGTTGCAGTATTCTTCAAGACCCGCATCCTCCAGAAGCTTTCCTGGACTGTCCCCAGCATTTTCCTCCATCCATTAAGTACCATTGCACTTACAGCCAGTAATACTTGTTTTAAGAATTATTTGTTCTCTTGAGATTTCTCAAGCATGTGCTGCTGTGAAGCCAGAGGTCAAAGGCATAGAGGGTGAGACTTGAGGTTTGAGACAGGCCATGGGAGAGGTAAAAGTTGCTGTCAGACCAAGGAAAGAGAAGGTAGGCAGGTAGGGAGGACACCATTTAGTGAAGTGGAAAGGGCGTTCAGCAGGGCATCAACTCTAGACCTAAGTTCTAGGTCTGACCCTAAATAGCCATGTGACCATAAGAAAGTCCCTTCCCCTCTCTGGGCCGCTAAACAAGTAAACTTGACTAGATGATCTTCAGGTTTCTATTTTCTGGCATCAGCAGAGGAGGGAAGATATTCTGGAAAGTAGGAGCCCCTCCTTATTCTCACTAATGTGGTAAATATAATCTCACTTAATCTTCTCAACCACTCTACAGAGTAGGTCATATTATTGACCCCATTTTACAGAGGAGAAAACTGAGGCTCAGAAAGTTTTTTTTGAGTAATATGCCCTTCTAGTTGTTCATTCATTTCATGCATAAACACACTCTAGGTATACTGAGGAGAAAAGACACAGCACCTCTTCTCAAAGAGCTTGCAGTTGAGCAATCACCTTTGATCCACACTGCAAGGGGGAGGTTCCGACCTCCACCTACATATAGGTGTGGCCCATGAAACAAGACAAATCTAGGGTCAAGGGTGGTACCTGCTACTTGATGTGTGACCTTCAGGCAGTTGGTTAGCACATTATAAGTCTCAAGTTTCCTTATCTGTAAATTAAGAGTGTAACAATGGCTGCTGAAACATCCTAACGAGAAAATAAATGGTACCAACTTGGCCTAATATAGTGGATGTATTGACAGAAGGACTGTGGCCAAGATGACAGGGGGGGTAGCCTGTCAAGTAGGCTCCCCACTTCTGCCCTACCAAAGTTTTCTGGAGAATCCATAAACAGCCAGACATTATATTCTTGACACCTAATTGGCCTACTAGAACACACACCTTGCAGACTGAATGTGCTGCTAGCTTTTAGCTCCTCAATTTACCCCTAAAAGTGCACAAACAGGAGTTATGTTCCCACAGTACCTGCGGAATCCTCCTCCCCTCTCTCATAAACCCTGATTGCCTTTGCTCCTTGACTACCCAGCTGGACGAGCTGACTCCCACACAGGTGGAAAACCAATTTGCTCAGTAAAACGTCTGACCAAGGCTTGAGCTGTTCTTTGAGCTGCCTTGGGGGTGAGGATGAATGCTAGGGGCCCCGTCCCCCGGTCCTCACCCAGACCCCCGCCTCTTCACCCCCGCCGCAGGTTCCGCTGCATCGTGCACCCTTTCCGCGAGAAGCTGACGCTGCGGAAGGCGCTGGTCACCATCGCGGTCATCTGGGCCCTGGCTCTGCTCATCATGTGTCCGTCGGCCGTTACGCTGACGGTCACCCGTGAGGAGCACCACTTCATGGTGGACGCCCGCAACCGCTCCTACCCGCTCTACTCGTGCTGGGAGGCCTGGCCCGAGAAGGGCATGCGCAGGGTCTACACCACCGTGCTCTTCTCGCACATCTACCTGGCGCCGCTGGCGCTCATCGTGGTCATGTACGCCCGCATCGCCCGCAAGCTGTGCAAGGCGCCGGGCCCCGCGCAGGACGGCGAGGAGGCGGCGGCGGCCGGGCGGCGCGGGGCGCGGCGCAGGGCGCGCGTGGTGCACATGCTGGTCATGGTGGCGCTCTTCTTCACGCTGTCCTGGCTGCCGCTCTGGGCGCTGCTGCTGCTCATCGACTACGGGCAGCTCAGCGCGCCGCAGCTGCACCTGGTCACCGTCTACGCCTTCCCCTTCGCCCACTGGCTGGCCTTCTTCAACAGCAGCGCCAACCCCATCATCTATGGCTACTTCAACGAGAACTTCCGCCGCGGCTTCCAGGCCGCCTTCCGCGCCCAGCTCTGCCGGCTGCCGCGGGGCAGCCACAAGCAGGCCTACTCCGAGCGGCCCGGCGGGCTCCTACGCAGGCGGGTCTTCGTGGAGGTGCAGCCCAGCGACTCCGGCCTGCCCTCCGAGTCAGGCCCCAGCAGTGGGATCTCCAAGCCCGGCCGCCTCCCGCTACGGAATGGGCGGGTGGCCCATCGTGGTTTGCCTGCCGAGGGTCCTGGCTGCTCCCATCTGCCCCTCACCATGCCGGCCTGGGACATCTGAGGCGGTTCAGGGAGGGCAGGTTCCATCAGTTGTGTGACATCTGGACGATTCGCAGCCCCGTGTGGAATTAGAGGAGGATGATGCATGGTGCCTGCCTCTCTAAAACAAGGCCGTGGGCCGCTGCTGGTGATGCCTTCACCCTCAGAAAGAGGCAGGTGAGGGGGCAGCCTGTATGTGGGAGCCCTTTGTAGACTTGACAAACGTCATCTCATTGGAGTCTCCCAGCACTTTGGAAATATTCCCTTCTACAGATGCAAAAACTGAGGCCTGGAGAGAAGTGACTAGCCCAAAGTCTTTCAGCTGAAAAATCTCACATGACCCTGTGGCACTCTACTGCCAATATAGTTTTTACCATCTTCAGCTGCCTCCAAAGGGGCTACTTAAGGGGGAGCATAGTGAACTGTGTAAATCCTAATCAGGCAGCTGGGAAGAGTCGACAAAGCTTGCCTGTCCTCTGATGCTTAGTGTCCATGTGGTGGAGTTCCTTTTGTTCAGTTACTGAAGCCACTCCCCTTGTCCCTTTCCTAAGAGGACAAGATGTGTCCCTCCTGCAGGCTTTTTATAATGTGTTCAGTTGTCTCCTTTGTTCTAAGAAATGTCCAGGGCCATTCTCTTCCAGGATGTCACAGTTGAGCAGCTTCAGAAGGTGTCCTGGGTGTCTGCTTCAGTTGCATCTAGATTTGGGCTCTGGGTCTGAGCCTAGAGAAGGGAGCAGGGGACTCTGTCCCACCTCTACCACCCAGTCCCAGGCAAGAACTTAACAACACAATGGGCAGCTGCAAGGCCATGTTCACGTGGTGTCTGTTGATTTACTCATGGACAAGGAGGAAGGGAAAGCAGAGTACTCGCTTTCTATCTTTGTAAACACATCTGCTTCCTAGAAATGCCAGAATGAAGCCTTCCTCAAGGCTTCTCCCCTCCCTGCTTTCTATAGCTAGGGTGCCCTATCAAGACTCGTGAAAGACACACACTAACTCCCTGCCTCCCAGCATGAAAGACTCAGGTACCCCAAAAAGGGTGGGGACCAGATGATCCCTTTTTTGCTCTGGCTTTCACCTAGCACACCTGCATCACCTTAAAGAAATGAGACTTCTCTCTAGGACAGCAGTTCTCAGCCTGTGGGTCGCGACCCCTTTGTAACAATGAAAATAGGAAGGTTGAGAAGCACTGCTCTAGGAGATGGGAAGACATGGGATAACATTGGGTGATCCTTGCACAGCCCCTGTCATCTGCAGTTAACTGGACATTTTCCTCCTCATCTCTATAGAAAACATCATGTTGCTAAACATTCAGTGAACAAAAAAGCAACAATTCCAGGGGTCAGGGCTCTGAGGCTCTGTTTGTTTCCCTGACACACAATGACAGCACTATTCACTCCTCTCTAAATTCCAAACATAAGAGCAGAAGAAAAAAATTTTTAAATTTTGTTTTATTTATTTTATTTATTTTTTTGAGACAGAGCCTCAAGCTGTCACTCTGAGTAGAGTGCTGTGGCATCACAGCTCACAGCAATCTCCAACTCCTAGGCTCAAGCGATTCTCCTGCCTCCACCTCCCAAGTAGCTGGGACTACAGGTGCCCACTACAACGCCCGACTATTTTGGGGTTGCAGCCATCATTGTTGTTTGGCAAGCCTGGGCTGGATTCGAACCTGCCAGCTCAGGTGTGTGTGGCTGGTGCCTTAGCTGCTTGAGCCACAGGCACTGAGCCCAGAAGAAAATTCTTAAGCAGTAGTACGAAACATTCTCCAAGCATGTCCCAGGACAGTGTCTCATTTGAGCCATACTAATGAGATTGAAGGGGACATTGTTATTGCCATTCTGCAAAGCAACTCAGTGCCAAGGTCACAGGGCCACTGAGGGGCAGGCTTTGGATTAGATTTGTCATCTGATTGTCTTCCCACTCATGCTACATGCTGCCTTTCAAGGAAGGTGGGCATGGCAGAGGGGAGAGCTGAATTTTCCCCCCATGGTTTTTGGTCTCATGGTGAATAAGAACATTCATAGGACAAGAATCCCCAGTGCCTAAGCTCTTGATCTGGGAAATCAGAGTCTTTTGTGTTTACTCTTACTTCTGCCTTGAGCTGTTCTGTGTATGTTATCTATGTGCTGAGCAGGCTGCCAAGATCCATTATGGTCCTGTCCTGGTTCAGGAGTCTGGGGTTGATGGATGAAGATCTTAGAGAGGGTATCATCCTGCTCATCATGGTATTGGTTGGTGCCACCCATTTCTGGTCATTGTCATGTCTCACATAGATCTGAAGGTTCCTGGGTGTTCTAAAAAATAGGCTGGAAAAAGGACTATCGTAAACCCCAAATGCCTATCCCTGTGGCTAGGTAGAAGCTGTCTGAAGACATCTGTTTTGTCCTCTGGAGGATGTTTCACCTTTACCATGGCCTCCTGAAGCACAAAATCATACCCTTTGGGGATGGGGTTAGGTACTTAGGTACTCACCCAAGCCAACCTTTCCATCAAGGCCCTTCTGTTTTATTTCCCCCAAAGATGCCATGCTTTGAAAGGTTGTAACTGCCAAAAACCCCTGCATAGTTCACAATTTGCATATTTTGCTGTTATTTTTATTTCATTCATTTATTTATTTCCATATTTATTAGACAGAGTATCACTTTGTCACCCCTGGTACAGTGCTGAAGCATCATAGCTCACAGCAACCTCAGGCTCTTGGGCTCAAGTGATTCTTTTGCCTCGGCCTCCCAAGTAGCTGGGACTATAGCACCTGGCCACTTTTAGAGATGGGTCTCACTCTTGCTCAGGCTGGTCTTGAACTCTTGAGCTCAAGCAATCCACCCATGTCAGCCTCCCAGACTACTAGGATTACAGGCAGGAGCCACCAGGCCTCCCAGCTCTGTCTCTGATTTTGACTACTCTAGGTACCTCATATAAATTGAGATGCATATAGTATTTATTATTTTGTGACTGGTACCTTTCACTTAGCATAATGTCTTCAAGGTTCATCCATGCTGTAGCATGTATCAGAATTTCTTTCCTTAGGACTGGGCTTGGTGGCTCATACCTGTATTCCCAGTACTTTAGGAGACCAAGGCAGGAGGATTGTTTAAGCCTAAAAGTTTGAGACCAGCCTAGGTAACATGGTGAGACTTAATCTCTACATAAAATTTAAAAATTAGCTGGGCCTAGTGGTGTCCACTGATAGTCCCAGCTACTCAGGAGGCTGAGGCAAAAGGATCACTCAAACTATGATCACCCCACTGTACTCTAACCTGGATGACAGGGCAAGAGTCTGTCTCTAAAATTTAAAAAAGTATTTCTTTGCTTCCAAAGGCAAACTAATATTCCACTGTATGGATGTTTCACATTTTGTTTATTATTCATCCATCAATGCACATGTGGATCGTTTTGCCTTTTGGCTGCTGTGAATAATATATGGAATTTTTGGATGCTAAAAGTAGTTCCTAAAAATTGTGCCTGGGTGAATCCTGAGGACAGAGGTCCCAAGTTAGGAACCTGGAATCTTGCCCAACTTAGCATTTATGTGTGACAAAGCAGAGGCTTGAGGATAGCTGTGATTGACTCCCCTGCACACACCTCAACTGCTCTGATCCTCTCGGCTGGGCTTTACTTCTTGACTAGGGTGGCTAGAAAATTGTATATTCTCCCCACGGGATATTTTTATGAAGATATTTCTATAATTATAGCTTTATTATCTTTACTGGATTCCTGTGTCCTGTCGACTGGACCCTGTCAGAAACCTTGTGCAGCCAAGGCATTTGAAGGCAAGCAACGCAGACTTCTCCTAACATGCCATCCTCTGCCTACAGGTCTCCTAAGGTGACTGCCCTTTCACAAGCGGAAAGTTCGGAGATGAATTGGATGTGTGATAGGGGAAAAGGGCCAGAGGCCTGTTGACACTGAGCATCCCGCCAGAGGGGTTCTTGGAGGGACTCCGTGTCCTGCCATGTGTAGCATGAGCAGTCGTTCTCATCATGGGTCCCCAGTGATGAATGGCCTCTTGACTTCACCAAGACCACGCAGCACCTAACAGACCAATGTGAGCTGGAGGTGGGGGCCTGGACTAGACCCCACAAACCACAGTCTGCCCTGCCCTGTGCTAAGGACTTTCTCTTGAGGTCTGGAGGACGCATGAGTTGATCTGGGTTGGAATGGAGGGTGGAGTTGGCAAAGTAGGATGAGAGTCCCCTATCATTAGTCTACTGTGTATTCATTCAAAAATCAAGGTCAGAGCCAAACCGAGGGCTGGATGGACAAGGCATTGCTATTAAGCTCTGTACCTTATTGCATCTGTTTCCTCAGCTCACCTCTCAGAAGTGCCACTGAGGAAAGATAGATGAGAATGAGGTGACCCAAATGGGCTGCATTACAAGCAAACAATGTTGAATTAACAATAGATTCCTTGCTGAATAATCCAGTTATTTATGTTCGTGGCATTTTATTGTTTTGTTTTTTTCCCTCCGCAAAAGCACTATATAATCATTATGGAAACTATAAAATTTGGATAAACAAGGACAAGAAAATGAAAAGCGCGCTAATCCTACCACCAGAGAGAAGTACAGAATTATTTTCTATGCATAAACATCTATATACAGGGTGGCAATTGCACACGAACTTTATGGCCATCAAGTATTTAAAACTTTTGTAACAGCTATTTTGAGGCATAATTTGCATATGGATAAAATGCACCAATTTTAAATGGATAGCTGGACGAGTTTTAGTAATTGTATACAGTTGTGTAACCACCACCGCACTGAAGATATTTTCATCATCCTAAAAAGTTCCCTGGTGCCAATTGATAGTAAATTCTCTCCTACTTGCTCTGGAACCTAGACAAATACCAATCTAATTTCAGAATATCATGTACCTGGAATCAGATAGTATGTAGTCTTGAGTCTGGCTTCTTGCACTTAGCATGATGTTTTCAGATTCATTCGCATTGTAGCACATATCAGCAGTTCATCTCTTTTTATTGCTAAATATTATTCCATTGTGTGGATAGATCTCATTTTGTTTATCCCCT